TTTAAATTTAATCTTCTGAGACAAAATTCTTTCTGTTTTCAGGCTTATACCATTATCAGGTGTTATTGGGGTATATTGCCAAGAAAGTGACACTAGAGACACTGTTTTCAGGCTTATACCATTATCAGGTATTACTTGGGTATATTGCCAAGAAAGTGACACTAGAGACCACACAAGAGACCAAAACACACTTTTACAGTTTGAAATTCAAATACGGAATCACTGAGAGTCTCTTATCTATGCATGCTAGTAACACTCATAGTGTACATAACATGAAAACAAACTTGGTGGCCAAAGACCAGCAGCCTGTATTTAAAATTAACACTAATACAGAATTCATTTATGCCAGTCCTGAAGAAAGTCCACGACAATCCAGACTCTCTTTAAAGCAGGTTAATTTCCTCTATTACTTTAAATTTATCCTCTAAAATCAGTACAGAACCCATTTCAAACCTTATCTGCTACATCTAACTTTACAGGAGACAGGCTGTATGACCCAGCATAAGATGGAAGGTTCATCATTGTACCTTGGCTAAGAATTTCGAGTAATAAACTGCAACCATCTACTTGTAACTTGAGAGAATCTACATGAGTCTTCATGGCAAAAGCGATCACTTCTGTGAACGTTAGCAGATAGGGTATGGCTGCAGGGAAAAGAAATTGTTTGAGGCAATGTTCAGTTACACACCTTAGAAGGCTCAGTGAATATCTATACTCCAAAACGCAAGAGTTCTATTTTCAAGTAAATTTGAGTCCCTATGGACAATATGATGCAGCAGAACAACATTCCTGAATATAGATGGAACAATACGGAGGGAATTTTGTAGCCTCCATGGGAAATGTCTCTCACTACAGACAGCTGCGAGGCTCTGCAAGCTAAGTTTAGCCAGCACGTTCCTCATTAAGTCACAGTGGCATCATTTGCTCCTCATGCAGCATGAGCCCAAACCCACGCTTTTCAGAACCTCTGGAGCAAAGTACGTCACTGAGTCTCCTACTTGTGTGAAGAATTTTTGGAATAGGTAATATAGCTATTCAGCATATCCACAAATATATGATAAAATGTTGAGGAAAAACTGGATGGGTTTTAGGGATCCATGCTGAGCACCTTCAAAGATGCGAGCATCAGTCACAGTAAGCCAGGGCGCAGAGGTGCCAAGCAAGTGAGAGGTGTGCATGGCCTGGTATTGCTGTCAAAACCGTCGAATGAGAATCACAAAGAGCCATTGATTTTGTTATTTATAACCAAAGCCTGCTATATTACTGGTTAAAGATTTCTACAGTAACTGAGTTGAAGATAGAACAGAAACCAACACCCCTGTGTTCATATCATAAGCAAATGCAGCATTAAAATGATAGAGCATTTTATAACTGAGTTAACACGGTGCTCTGAAAATACTAATCTTGATCTGATTAATCAGAAAAATGTGCAGATGCTGGGAGGAAATACACAGTCTTCGCTCACAGTTGTACTAGAGTGTGTAGCTTCCTTTTGCTCTTACAGCCCTTGGCATCGCCCCCAAGTTGCCCCAATGCTGACACGAATTACCTTCCTCAAGCATCAGTTTGCCAATTCACCTTTGTTGCCAATTATCACTAAGGGTTTGTTGTTTTTTTCCAACAAAAAAAACCACATTTGTCTTATACAGTTAAATACCTCTTCTCTTCAGCAAAAACATTTACTGAACAAGAACAGACACAATCACATCAGGTAGTGGTCTACTCTAGTACATTCCAAAAGTGAGAACTAGGAAAAGAGCAATTTCGCTCTCATTTATTGTCGTGAGAATATTTTCCTCTTCCTGCTATAACAAAATGTAATGAAAAAGCAGAATAAATTCATAAAATAGTGCCTTACCACCTTCATCTCTTACAAAGCTGGCCAGGCGCTGAATGGATTTAGCCTGTGCTTCTTCTATATCCCAGAAAGCCTGCATGAATTCTACATAAACCAAGAAACTCTTCTAACTATTTGATACAAACACTTTTAAAAAACACTCAATTTTTCTCTATTTTGTGCAACACGTGGATTCATACAAATGAAAATAACATCATTTGTGACTGTTGGAGGGAAAAATTTTTCCCCTAATGAATCAAACATTTAAATATTAAAATGTGTTATGATTCACCTCTATAATCTGTCTATTTCATAGAATCACAGAAAGGTTTCAGCTGGAAATTTGACATTATATATTTTGGGGACCTGTTGGAATATTGAAACAGAGCAGGGACAGGGGTTTTAAATGTATTATTCCAATAGCCTTTTCAGATTCAGATAATATCTTTCTTAGAAGGAAAATAACAGAGCAGATCCTTTGTTGGCATAAATTGGCAAACATGTTAGAATACAAACAAAAGAAGTGTGGCTCCCCAGTTTCCTCAGGAATGATCTCTCACTCCATTTCACTGGTGCATTAGGCACGACTAGGAACCTTATAAGGTTATAGAAAAGGCTGCATGGCCATCCTTCCTCCAAATAGCATCCCATTTTATTTCACATAAAATGAATGTCCAGTAATTAATTTTCAAGCAGAATACATGCTGACTGGGAAACACATGGCTTTATTTCCTGTGAAAACCATGATTACATTAATCCTATTTTCCTTATTACCTAGAACACTTTCAATTCCTCCCTGAAGGAGCACATCTATTATTTTGGAAGGCAAAGACTTTTTCAGTTTTACTGAAGAGGCACCAGCAACGGTCAGGCATTCCATAATAAATGGAACATCAGTCAGATCCCTGGAATTACGAAAGACAAAAGCAGTATCAATAAGACAGAACTGCTAAATGATAATATTTCTACGGGCTTTGTTCCAATTTGATATAAAAAGTCTATAACACTTCTTTGAAGAGTGGATTATTTTTGACAGAACTTAAACAATTTACTTCAGAGCAGCTAATGAAAGAGCTTACAGTGTGCAAGCCATGCTTAGGCTTCAAGTTAATGGCTTGTAAAATCATGTATAATGACTTTATAATGTAACTCTTCAAAAAAGGACGCCTACACATAAGAGAATGCCCATTTCTGAATGAACACTGAATCTTTGACTTTTTTTAATAACTCAGTTTGTCGAGGCAGTATGATCAACACCTTTACTGAATCTCTTTCAAACAGTAGCTAAAGTTCCCATCTTTGTGAACATAAGTGGGCTTTAAGACAAAAATAATAAAGGAAAAGCATCCAGAACTTACTTTGTTGTGGGTCTCATGCTGGGCTGAATCTGTAGCATCGTCAATAAAATGGGAAATAAAGGCAAAGAGCTGCTATCTCCATTTTGCATCAGTGTCAGAACTCCCTCAAGACGGCTGGTATCCTGTCTAATATCCTGCAGTAACGAAGTTATCTCTTTAGCCTGTAAAGAGCACAGTGTCAGAAGAGCTTTCACACTCTTGTTTACAGACATCCAGGCCGGCCTGTGACATTTTAAATCTATAATGAAACATTCTCACATACATTCAGGACGAAGCAGGTCATCATGTCAAGTAGAATACAACCTAGAGACCAGATGTCAGACTTCTCAGTAAAAGAAGAAACAAATGTTTCTGGAGCCATCCAAGACTTGCTATCTGTTGAAGTAAGAACCATCCAGTAACATTGCTGACAGTGTGTGATACACAGTTTTCGCTTGCCCATGTATAAACTGCAGGCAATTGTTTCATGTCTAAAAATAATTTACAGATACTCTGCAGAGATTAGTCATTTTTTACCAGTGATACGCCACAAAAGCCTAAGAAACGCTATAACTAATGAACAATTTTCTAATATGTCCCTGCATTCACATGAAGCTAAAAAGGATTCCAGCTGGATCTGCTGCAGAATTCTGAGACTCACAGTCTATAGTTTTCAATTGTGAACACCACTAATGCTACAGGCAACTGCCTATGAATATCCTATTCATACTTTAGAAGACAAATAACAATGCAGAGAAGGGTGAGGGAAGATAATTCTTTCCTCTTTGGCTGATTTTTCTCTGAGGAATAAAAATATCCACAATAATTGTATTTTAAAGTAAAAAAAAAAAAAAAGGGAAAACATATCTACTTTCTTCCACTCTTGTTTTCCATTTCATCTCATCTGTCATAAGAGTTTCTGTACTGAAGTCGCTAAGCATGAAGGATGCTTCACCAGTCACAAGTATGTTTGATGGCTTGATATTTCTGCAACATAAATATTTCCTGTCAGCCTGTGAAATCAGAGTCTGATGATATATAACTACAGGTTCCCAGCACCTTTGCACATCAGAAGGTTTGGGCTTCTTTGGGGAAGGGTAGGTGGGATTTTTTCTTTTTTCATTTGTGGGTTTTGTTTCTTGATTTTTATTCTTTGTGGGTTTTTGTATTTAGTATACAAGTTATAATCAACTGAAATACAATTATTTTCTGCTTTTACTGTGAAATACTCTAAAATCTGTGATTGCGGGACAAATTAACCATTGTATTCCATGTTCGGATAATCTTTTATTTCAGATAGACAAAGTACACCCTATCTATCCCAGGCACCAAAGTGTAAGTATTAACAGAAATAATCAATATTGTAATATTAAAACAAATATTCTAATGTTAGCACATTCCAAAAAAAAAAAAAAAAAAGAGAACACCTCATTCAAATGAATAATTCTAGACAAAATTCCAGAAATAAATTACTTCAGAAGTTAGAGAAAATTAATCTATACATGAAGTCTTGAATTTCTACCCCTACTCCCCCTTTTGGAACAGTCCAATTCCCTCCCTCCCAGCAGCTGTGCTGAACCAACAGTGACTGCAAAGAACAACGACCTATCGAAGAGAACAGGATTTCTCCTCACCTGTGGAAAATACTTTGTTTGTGTATATAAAACAAAGCATCCACCATCTGTCCCAGGAACTTCAGAATCACCTGTTGAGGGGATGTAACACAAAGAGAATAACTCCCAACTACCTTTTGGAAGGTGGCTTTCAAATCACCCTGCAGCAAAACACTGTGCTTTGAGGATGTTTTAGGGAGGACTCTGAAAAAGAGGGAATAAAGAGGAAGAAATATAAAAGCAGTGAGACTCTCTCAGTTGAACCAGATGCCTCTTCTGCACTTTTTACCATGTCTGTTATTTTTTCTGACTTCTGCCTTTTTTCCTTGATTACAGATGAAAGATCTCCTTGGCCTGAGTGCTGCATTACCAGACAAAGGAACAGAGATGATACCTGTAATAAAATATTACACCAAAATCGTGTAATTGTTTGCAGGTAATCCAGTTAGAAAGATAAACCCCCCAGCAAGATAAAACCGCCAAACTGGCAGGTGTGATATTCACTACTAACAAGGTGTTCCGAGATGATTAGTCTCTCACAGGGGAGACAATACTTACTCTTTTATTAAAAACATAGCATGTATTTTAAAAGAAAAAAAAAAAGAAAAAACGATCAAGTATCTTATCTGAAGCCATGTGGGACAATTCAGATCAAATATACATCCATAAAACCAACACAAATTTTGCCTGAGCACTGAATAAAATCTGCAAATAAATACATCAGGGCTTTGAGCTTCCTACAGTCTCTTATAAAAGGGTTTTCATGAAGGCATGAAAATCAGTATTACACACTGATTCACACCACAATCTGTGAGTCAGTGTGCAACACTGCCATGGGATGGGCTCCAATCCACATGTATTCACAGCTTTTTAGCATCTTTATTCAGGACTTTACAAAGCAGGCTTGTTTCAGATCAACCTTTTTTTGAGCATCTTACACCAATAACCCCAGATTCAAACTGGCAAAAATGCTGACGTGCTTGCAACATTAACCATGTGTTTCAGTTTAACTAATCCCATTTCATTCTCACCTTATTATCCCAAGCCACAAACAGTTCCTTGTAAGAACAGATGTTTGAATGATGAAGTCTTAGCAAATCCATTGCCTGCATAGAATAAAAAAATGCAGAGAGCTTTCTACAACTGCACAGTCCTTCCCATTAACAGGACCTTAAATAACATCCTAAGCCAATTCCTGAATTGTTCATGTTGCATGTCTGATAAAACACGTTCAATGTGCAAGCTCTCATATATATTTGCAAGCACAAGTGTCAAGTTAAGGAAAATATTTCACTAAGACTCCATCCAACAAAATGCTTTAACAGCCTTGTGAGATTCAAGGCTATAAACTGATCCTTAGGGAGATGATATGTAAACAACCCTCTTCTTCAGTTCCTAACATCCAGACCTGAAAAGACATCTTAGAATATGAAAATCAAGATGATTTTTCTAGCACAGCCATTATTTCCAGTAACTCACAGGCAAACTTGAACCTCAGGAAATATGATGACACTAGTGAGATGCTTATCTCTTTGAAGTTGGTTTCCATGTAGGGCTGATGAGTGTGAGAGGTAAAAAAAATTCAACTTACTCTCCCATAGTTGTTCGTGGCTGTGCAAACACAATAGAAAAACTACAAAGAGCCACACTTTTAGCTGACACAACTGCATTTATTCCAATAGACACATATATCAGCAGAAAAATTGATCAAATTTTATCAGTAAAACCAGTCTCAGTACATAAAGAAGTCAACTCTCTTGAGTAGGATGAAGCATTTGCACAGACATATATTCTCACTCATAGCAGCAACTGTCATACATACTGAACACTGTGAGACTAATCCATTATGTGCTATTCGCATATTTTGTTGAAACAAATTTTGGTATTTTAATAGTATTTCTGATGTTGTTTCCTACTTGAGGCATTGAAATAAGTTTGCACCAAAAAAAAGTACAACTAAGGAAAAAAAACAGTCAAATCACTCACATAATAAAAAATGTCCAACTCTGAGGAATTAACATATAATGAAATATGTTAACTACAAATTGAGGCTTTAATAATAAACTATAAACAGATCAAGATTCTCCTTCAGCTTAAAGGTCAAAAGGATGAGCTTTGCTCCTCATCTTCAGCACAAAACAAACTCTGAAAAAGGACTATCCTTTGAGAACAGCTGTGCATTTGAATTTACATATTCAAATATCCTGGCCCAAACTCAAGCAGAGGGTAGGGAGAACACCTCTCAGATAGTACTACCTGATTTAAATTGTAACTATTTACTTAGTTAATACCTGTAGATAAAAGACCTTGTTCTGTTAAGACTTTGGTCTTTGTAAGTGAGGTAGTAAAGAAAAACTGCACTGATACCTCCTTCAGGGCCTCATTTGCTTGCTTTTCTTCAGTGCATTCAACCTGCACCAAACAAAAAACAAGTATGAGATTATAGTACAGAGACAGGCAAACTTTGAGCCAGAACAATATTGTTAAGATGACTGCAGCTGCAAATGGTGTGTGAATTGGCATAAATTTTCAGCAATATCTCCTATCCCTAATGTCTGGAGCCATCTTCTTGTTGGGAGATGGCCAGAAACAGAGCTTTAAATGAGTCTCCGACAGCTAGCCAGTCTTCTCCTGCACTGTCAAAGCAGGAGTAAGCACTGGATGGACCTAGACGGCTCCCCTTTCCCCACTTTTAACCTCAAAATTCTAGTAAACCTCTGTGAATCTTCAAATTTCCAAAAGAGCAGCACAGTGAGATGTGTGCCTACTCTTAATCAGTGGCCAAGCTGCCTAACATGTTTGTGTCTGCTACTACCAGAAGAGCCCCTGGAGATGACAAATGTGCCAATAGATTCTTGTTTTCCTAGCAACTACCTTCTCACCTGCTTGATCATGTATTTCTTTTTCGCACCCTTTTCTGTTTTCAATCCAACTACCAGCATAGTGCCCAGCGCCCCAGGCTGGAGCTGCTCCAGCACCTGCAGGGCAGAGGAGAGATGCAAATGCACTTCCTCAGCTGCAAGCCATAGCACAGCCGAGGCAGAAACCCCCTTTAAGGCTGTTCAGCCTTGAAAGGAGGCAGCTGACAGGGGACCTTATTAATGTACACAAATATCTGAGGGGTGGGTGTCAAGGAGAAGGAGACAATCTCTTTTCAGTGGTGCCCAGTAATAGAACAAGGAATAATGAGTTTAAGAACAAGGAATAATGGGTTTAAGCTAGAACGCAGGAAGTTCCACCTCAACATGAGGGAAAATTTCTCCACTGTGCGGGTGCCGGAGCCCTGGCCCAGGCTGCCCAGAGAGGGTGTGGAGTCTCCTTGAGACCTACTCCCTTCATCATCCTCGTAGCTCTCCGTTGGACTCTCCTGAGAGCTACGAGGATGATGAAGGGACTTGAACATCTCTTCTCAGTGGTGCCCAGCAATAGAACAAGCAATAACGGGTGTAAGCTAGAACATGGGAAGTTCCACAAAAACATGAGGAGAAACCTGTTGGCCGTGCGGGTGCCGGAGCCCTGGCACAGGCTGCCCAGAGAGGGTGTGGAGGCTCCTGCTCTGGAGACTTTCAAACCCGCCTGGACGCGTTCCTGCGTGACTGCCCTAGGGCATCCTGCTCTGGCAGGGCGGTTGGACTAGATGATCTTTTGAGGTCCCTTCCAACCCTGAACATTCTATGATTCAAACCAGTTTCCCAAAAACACCTCCACTTTCCGATGGCAGGGCCAGAGGCACCCCCTGCCGCACCCCAACTCCCCAGAGGCACAGAGGCCTTCTCCTCCAGAGCACCCCCCTCACTTCCACCTTGGTGAAAAAGAACACCTTCATCTCCCCAGGGCCTCCCCAGCACCTCCCTCCCTGGGATTGCGTAGATCCCTTCCTCAGGCTAATTTAC